CAACCTCACATAGGATGTGTGGCATGCTCTCAATTGTGGGGCTAGTGGTGGTCACACTCATCCTCTCATAGGAAATGCACTCAATGTTAAAATGGTGGAGTCACTCATATCACTCATGGTGGGGTGGCTCTCCTCACATGGGAATTGGGGTATCTCTTTATATGTGGGTGTCGGAGAGATGTAGGTGCAAATGTCTCCATGCTCAATCATGTCGTGGTCGTAGTCGTGGATGAAGGCCGAAGATGGCACATCATCACTCTCCTCCAAGACCAAAGATAAGGTCTCATGTGCGGTCTCGTAGCTTGACTCGGAGTATGAGTCCAATATGGGCGCCGTCTTCATGTTGTTGAAGAGGTTCATGCTCGTCGCCGTGGTCGAAGGGGATGGCCCTTGATCGACCTTCTTGTCGCCGTCTTGTTGTTGGAGGCCCATATGATGTGGCACCTCGTAGCTCGTCTCCATGACCGAAGGGAAATTCCCATGCTCGGCCATCTTCCTTGAGGGGCTTCCAAAGATGGAAGTGTCACCCTCGCTTGTAGGTGGTCGCCTTGTACTTGATGATGTCGATGTAGGCGAACTCACGGGAAGTAGGCAAAGATGCCTTACGCCCAAAGGCGAAGATGCCTTGAGAACACTTGGCAAAGATGCCGAAGTGGTTGGTGTAGTCGTAGCTCCGTCTTGGTGGTGCTCGTCTTGCGGTCTTCTCTTGTGCTCTTGAAGCTTGGCCTTGGCGTGAAGTAGGGCATGTTGGGACTTGTAGGTAGGCGCATCTCGAGCATCTTCATATTGATGGTGTTGTTGTCGTGCTTGAAGTTGATGGTGTTTGTCGTCGTCGCGCACGTGATGTTTGGAGGTGACTTGCCCTTCATGACGATGTGGATCACGAACGTGATGGTGGTCGCCATGGAGATGTGGACGTGGACGACTTGTGCTTGCAACATTTTTGCGCTCCGAAGACTTGTGACTTGAACTTCGCCACCTTGAGGATGATGAAGGGGAAGAACGGTTGATCAACAAGGTCCGAATCTCCTCCATCCTTGCATCTTGCTCCTTCTTTTGTGCGGCAAGCTTGTTGTCGATGTAGTCCCTTTTCCTTGCTTCAGAGTGACGAATGTCGATGGAGAGGTTCTCGATGCGCTCTCGCAATCTTGATTGTGCGCCTTGCATTTGTCATTGTAGATCGAAGATTGATGCTTTGGTGATGTAGTTGTTCACGCCGTCGTTGTTGTGGAAGACCGGATATGAAATGCCTTGCCTATCCATCACAATACTCGAGCAAATATGAGTGGGAGAAAGAGAAGAACGAATACCAAATGTATCTTGACCGAAGTTGAAGGTGGATCAATGATCACTCCAATGTGGACAAGGAAATAGCACAATTGGTACCAATTCTTGTCGGTTTCTCACACCTACACAAGTAAGGCTTATGGTGGAGCTCGGTGAGGATAGTGGCACAAAAATTTGATGTAAAATGTTAGCAAGAGTCAATAATGTTGAAAGAGATTCACAAATTCGCAAGTGAAACAAGTAGACCAATAGCAATATGTGGAACACGGAAACACACACACGGATAGATAAATGGGGTCGTGCAACCAAGGAATGAGCTCAAAATGTGGAATCCACGGAAAATGCTCTTGTTGCACAACTCTAGAGAGACGCTAGCACGATTGCTCAATAGGCGGATACGACACTTGTGCACAACCTATAGGAGACAAAAATGCAACGACTTTTATCCCAAGTATGCTATGTATATGATGTTCCGATGGTATGATCCAAGATGATCGGATATGACAATCTTATGCAATGTGGTATGATGCTATGGCACTTGCTTACAAGCTCTTTGTTCACTCTTTTTCTTTTGCTTAAAAGCTTATTCTTTTTTTTATATGGCCACTTCGCGAAATGCACAAACCAAGATAGCCATTGTGTATATGCGGGAACAAACTTGAGGCACAAGGGATGATATGATACCGATATGATATGGTATGTATGCAATGTATGGTGTAGATCACTAATGTGCACAAGTAACGTTGCCGGCAATACTCAAATGGCTAGTCTCGATAGGCAAGTGACGCAAAATGGGCTAGGGGTTATCAATGCAATTGCAAGGGACTATACAATGGAGGGATACCACGATACCAAGATGATATGGAGGTTACCGTCCTTGGCGATGATGAGTGGCGGTGATCTTGATGGAGATACCAAGATGATGGAGACTCGTCCCTAAGTAGCCGAAACACCTTAGGAAACGGAAAAACCGCGAACTCAAAATCTCAAACGTCAAATGGTGGTAGTGGGAATGCGGTGGTGGTTTTGTGGAAGCCCAATGGGATTGCGGGAACGCAATGATGGGTTTTGAGACGCAATGCGGAAGTGGAGGGTAAGGTGGTGGACTATACATGGTGTCGTAGTTGGAAGCACGGTCCCTAAGTAGCCGAAACACCTTAGGAGACACAACTCACAACACAAACAAAATTGGGTTAAGTCGGGGTGGTGGAAGTGTATGGTGGGCAAGCCTATGTGGGAGTTATGGTGGTGGTGGTGGTTGATGAAGAAGCAATCGTCCCTAGTAGCCTAAACACCTTAGGAGACTCGAATCACTACTCAAGCAACCACAAGTGCTATAAGGAACAAAATTGGTTAGGTTGCGGAAGTCGGTGGTGGTTATGCGGAGGTTGTGGTGGAAGCCCTAGGCAAAGATGCCAAAGTTCCAAACATTTGATGGAGTCAAATGGTGTTGGTAGTATTTTTTGGAAGGGGGGGTGTCAAGATCTTTTCAACGAGCTAAAGAACACGAAATCGGACTCCGGAAGAATTAGTTATGGACAAAACGGTGAAACGGGGGTGGCTGAGATGTCAGGGGTCGGACATCCGGGCTCGGGGCCGGAAATCCGGGACCTGATGTCCAGAACCGTGCAAATTTGGCGCTCTAGGAGCCGGATGTCCGGCTTGGGGCCCGGATGTCCGGCCCGATGGCCCGAATGTCCGGCCTGAGGCCCGGATGTCCGTCTGAGGCCCGGATATCCGGCCCGACGATTCCAGATCTCGATTGGGACATCAAAACTCGATTTGGGGGTGGAAATAGATGAATTTGGGGGCAAAATTGATGGGATTTCGTGGATGGAAAGTGGGGAAAGTTGGTGATATGCTAGATCCACTCGAAACCAAGCAAATCCATGGATCAAAATCAACAAAACTTCATCAAACGAACAAATCACAAAAAAATTTGGGCCTATTTTTAGTGGGGATTTTCGAAATTGGGAAAGAACACAACAAAATTAGGCTAGAAAACAAAGAGGGGAGGCTCCGAAATCGTGATCAACGTGGCTCATGATACCAAGATGATGTAGGGTAGAACCCTAATCGCCTGATCTTTCACGAAAGGAGCGGATCCCGCGAAGAACACGAGGAACACGAGGGGAAAACGAGGGAAATCACGAGGGGAAACACAAGAGAATCACTCAACCAACAAGAAATAGTCACACATGTGCTAGATCCTCGAGTACATAAAGTAAGATACACGATCCACAATCAACTAGGGACGATACACGGTAACCGGTCTTCTCCGTGAGGAGGTCTTGAAGTTCTTCTCCAAAAGGAGGTCTTGAATCCAAAGGGATCTTCTCCGTAGAGGCCGCGGTCTCTCTCGTGGAGTAGATCCGATGTGGATGAGCAATGCTCTATCTCTAAAATGAGCTAAACCAATGCTAACCCTAAAACGTAGGTGGAGGGGGAGTATATATAGTCTAAGGGGCGAAGGGGTACATGGGCCTCGGCCCAGATGCACTGCACGCAGGCAGAGAAGGCCGGATGTCCGGGCGACGGGCCGGATGTCCGGGCATTCGCGGAGGGCCGGATGTCTGGGCTGGAGGGGCCGAATGTCCGGGCTGGCGGGGTTGGTCTTGTTGCTCTCGGGTTCGGCGGTGTCCGGATTTCCGGGACCTAGGCCGGATGTCCGGCGGCTCGTGAAGGGCCGGATGTCCGGGCCATGGCCGGATGTTCGGCTGCTGTAGCAGCAGACTCTTCTTCCTTCTCCTTCCTCCGCTCCTGCGCACGCTTGGCCTTGGTCCTTGGGCTCTCCTTGGACTCCTTGGGTGTACCTGGGTATGCACAAGGTCCGCGCTTGAAGTAGCATCCATGTCTTACATGCGGAAAGGAAAGATTAAGAAAGGAGCGAGTTCACCTTAGGTCCAAAGGCGTATGCTTCAGTGTACATGGGGATGATCGTAAGATGCTCCGCATCAGCCTCCCTCGTTGCCGCCGCGACGCGGGCGTTGGTGACCTCCTGCTGCGCGGCGGCGACGACGGCGGCCTGCGTGGCGGCCTCATCCCTCGCGTCCGCGACAGGCCTCCGGTCCTTCCTCTTGGCCAACTCCCTTGCCCGCTGCGCGGGCGTCAGCGGCTTCTTTGGCTTGGCCGCGGCGGCGGTCTTGCACGGGGCACGAGGCTTGCCTTTCCCGAAGGCGGCAGCGGCACCGGACGAGGCGAGGGAGGCGGCGGCATCATCCATAGCGAGTGTGGGGCAGGAGCGCGCGGACGGGAGGTTTTTTTAGGGAAATGAGGGAAAATGGTGGTGGCTACCACCGACCGGCGGGGGCGAGGAGAGGAGTGGGCGCGCACGTCCATCCTGTATCCAAGCCTATGCAAATCCGGCTCAAAATTGGGCCAGGAATGAGTCGCCAAGCGGACGTGCGTCCATGTGGATCGGCGCGTTGGGCCGCCGTTCGCCAGCAGACGAAATGGATCGCCCTATTGAAGTTACTCTCATTTGCTCAATTCACAAGCGAAACAAATAAAAGGTACTAGAACAGTTTACATTTGCGAAACGAAAGAAAAGTTTCATTAACGTTATTTGGCAACACAACGCAGGCGTTTCACTATGCAGTTGTGATTGTGTTCACTTGTCTCTCCACGTATACAGTATGTCAAGAAAATTACATAAATGGCCCAAAAAGGAAACTGTAATAATAAAGAACCCAAGGAATAAATGAAGCCGCCTGTTACATTCTCATCTCGAGGTCAGGGGTAACAGATTTCCTCTTCAATCTGTGTTCTGTTCGAGCCTCGTGTTGCTTACCTGTATCACCTTCATCTTCACCGTCGGGGTCTTTCGGACCTAAGTTCAGATTTAGATCGGTTCCACCAACGAAATTTCCAGAATCTCGAACCTCATCTGATGCCTGAAACAGGAAAGTGTATATGCTCAATTCTCGATTCCTTTCTCTCTTAATAGAGGACTTCAAATATGAAAAACAAGCACGCAAAATCATGTTTGCAGTGCAACCTATGGAAAGTGTACGATGGGAAAATACTCCTAGGTTTTTCCAGATGGATTGGGAAAATGGGATCTTAACTTGTTCTACTCTTACAAAGGTCTAGTTGATGGCAGTCCATTCACCCACATAAATTACCTATTAAGTCGTCAATAAATTAACTAGTATCACAATTATTCAATGTACTAAACATATGTATCACGATCTTCGGACTGATCAACATTTTGAGATATTTTCTCATGTTTGCAAAAGAGACTAAGATGACATACACATTTAACCAACTCATGCAATAAAAAACTCCTATAGAATACACGAGCATTTAACTTCTGTAGCAACACACAAGTATTTAGCTAGTTACCAAGAAAAGTATGTTGAGAAGAGCGGGACTACAACATTTATATATATTATCAGGTATCACAAAGTTGATTAGTAGAGACCAAAACAAAGAAATTTTACAGAAACTTTCATATCAATATTCCTAGAAAATGGCGTGGTATGGGCGTATGGCTGTGAGCTCACTCAGCCGCGGTGTTGATCCACACGAGCGACACGGGTGGCGAACTATAACGCCACCGGACCACCTCTACCCCTCGCCGCCACCAGGACGCACGTACGGGCTCACTCGGCCACCATGTTGCTCCACACGAACATACATGGGTAGCAAACTGTAGCCCCCGCCGGACCACCTCACCCTTCGCCACCTCCTCTCCCCCTCGCCGCCCCCAGGACGCGCTGCCGGGCAAAGCCGTGTTGCTCCACATAAACAAAC